CTTGAAAGTTGAAACAAATTGGAAAAATGATATATCGGCGTTTATTTTTTACGTTCGTCAAGCTTTACTCTATTCTATGTAAGTAAGCGCGGGAAAGCAATGTGGCAGGGATTAAAGTTGCTGATTGGATGTTTGTAAGGAATTATCGGACCTATCACATGTATGAGTAGCTCACATGAAACTGACGCTTGAAAAACAAACAGATTAAAATGCAAAGTAAGCTCGGGAAAGCAATATGGCAGGGATTAAAGTTGCTGATTGGATGTTTGTAAGGAGTTATAGGACTTATGACATGTATGAGTAGCTTACGTGAAACTGACACCATAAAACCAAACGGATTAGCATGCAAAATAAGCGCGGGAAATCACAGAATTATACACGGTCAACTAACCACCCATAAAAACACAGACGGGTTAAGGCATTATCGGCGGTAACCGGTTAACCGGTTAATACTTGACACCTCTAGCTGGTACGTTCGCTTGTACGTTCCTTAAAAATTAAATATTCATCAGGAATATTGGCCAGGGGACGTTTTTTTGGCCCACCCTGTATAGTGTTTATACACTGCTTTGTTACTTAGAATAAGTGAAAGATGAAGTAAGTTGTATGATATGAGAATTTATTAAAATTATATGGTTAGTGACTTCTATATGTGCTACAGTTATAAGCTGATATGGGAGTAAGTCTAAATAACAAAATTGAAATTAGCATGTGAATTAGAATGATACCTACTGAGGTAGTACTGAGTGCTTATTATTTAGTAAATGAACAAAATTTTAGTGCTAAATGAGCATTTTTTGCCAAGTTTCATACCATGAGTGCTAATTTAGCACTTATTTTGTACTATTTGAGTAATTGGCATATCTCTCTGTGTGGGCTGGTAATGTGTAAGTAATTGTGAAGTAATGGGCTGGTAATGTGTACGTAATTGTGAAGTAATGGGCTGGTAATGTGTACGTAATTGTGAAGTAATGGGCTGGTAATGTGTACGTAATGGGCTGGTAATGTGTATGTATTGGTGTAGTAATGGGCTGGGAATGTGTATGTAATGAGGTGGTAATGGGCTGGTAATGTGTACGTAATGGTGTAGTAAATTATTTGACACTTTAGTCAAACCGATTGCACTCTATGGTTCTGATGTTTTGGGTATAGATATTGTAAAGTTAAACTGACAAATCCTTGAAGGATGTACTTTTAGATAATTAATTTCCATTTGAGAAGTTACACAATAGGTATTACGCGTCAATAATAACTGCACTAACATATCAGCCAAGAGATGACTAGTTGCAAGCCAAATGTACAAATAGTCAAGTTACTTAACTGATCCTATTTCTAAAACTCTAATATAAAATGTAGGCATCTATCATAAAGTGTAAAAGACCTTTGATAATTGTTATCAATTGGTTACTGGTCTATTACATAGTATTCCTTAAATAGTAATTCCTTACTGTTATATAACTCTTCTCATCTGATGTGCTCACTATCACAAAATATGCATCATAGTATCAGAGCATGTTTCAGGTGATCTTATGAGTATCAGAAATATGTATATTCTTATCTCTGAGTGAATGTGCAATGAATGTGTCAATTACATAGGGTAAGGGCCCTGCGTTCAATAGCAAAACCAACAAATTTTTTTACCCTTTCTTTGAACACTTTACTTTGTACTATTTAATTGTTACAAAAGGTTGATAGCACACCTAAACTACAGATGATTTACAACATTGCCTTTTTATTTTAATTGAGATGTTGGTACTAGTAATGGTTGTAGTAAGAAACAATTGTGTGACATATGCGAAATTCATGTGAAAAGTCCAAACAAGCAGGTTCATTTTTTCTGGCGTTCGTTTTTTTTGATGTTCTCCTGAAATATTTTTGCTTGACAATAGATCTAATAGCAGAAAAATGAATATTTGCATGACATATTCTGTCACTCACACAAAAAACAGTTGTGACTATATTTTCTTCAGCAAATGCATGTCTACAAATACGCAAATTGCGTGGCAGTTGGACGTCCTACAGTAAGTGCAAATTCTTTGTAGAGGAGGCATCAAAAAGTTCAAGTCTGATAGATACGAAACTAAGATGGATACCAATTAAAATGCCAACTGACTCACCCGTCTTCTTGTGATTATGAGTCAAAGAAAGCATTCTTGAGTTTCAAATTGACTTCTGTAATAACTTGAAACCATCTTCTCATTTATTCCACTTACCTTATATTGTTTCTACAAATATATTCTTTGACCCCCTCCCAAGTAGATTTATTTAGTTTCCTATCAGACTTTGAACTTTTGATGCCTCTATACGTCCTGGATAAGAAGCCAGTGATTTACAAATTTGCTACATTGTTAGAAAGAATATGAAGTTACATCTGTACTATAAGTATAGTAGTACATTTTTGAATTAGGCCTAGAGTCTACTGGATATATCTCTGGGGCAAGTATTAATTCTTAAAAATACCTATCTAAAGGCATAGTTCTTGATCATTAGAGGTAATAATTCTTGTACACTAAATGCATGGTATTGAAACCACTCAAACATTGTCTAGAGCTATTAATTTGCTTGTATTTGAAAATGCAATAAATGGCACCGGATTAAACTATCAGTTAACATAATTAATCCATCAGTTTTTACTAACAACCCGTTTGTCACATAATCGAACACACTAAAAATATATTTTGCGTTACACTGGCGGATATGGGGGGGGGCCCAGGGGCCCGGCCCCCCCCCCCCCTTGGGTGGGCCCAGAAAAAAAAAATTGTGCCCAAAAAAGATTTTGAGCCTAAAAAGGATTTAAGGCCCCAAAAAGTAGGCCTTTTTGGTCATAAATTGGCCTTGTAAGGCCTTATTTGTTAATTTTAGGCCAAATTTTGAAGAAAATGGGCCTCAAAATTTCAAAATTTGGGCCCACTTTTGGGTTTATGGGGCCCAAAATTTTTTTCCGCGCAAGCGCTGAAATTTTTTTCTCAGACCACAATTTTGGGCCCCCCCCCCTTGTTGGTTCCCAGATCCGCCCCTGCGTTATAAGAATGTAAGATGCGCAAGATGTACATTTGCTATTTACAATTCAAGACCTTGATGGGCAATGTCAGTTAGTCGCTGCTTAGCCAGATTAAGTTGTTATTTTGGTCAGATATTGCTTTTGAGGAGGGCTGACAACTAACAAATGTACAGCATGTACTATTTAAATGATTTTGTCATCTAATTGCAATCAGCCCAGTAGCTGACAGCTGCTAGCTGCATTTGTGAATACAAGGTTTTTGATAGAGTAAATGCGAGTAAAAAATCTTGATTTATGTAATTAAATATTCAACATTCAGTCAAATAATGTCACATTTGAAATCTAACCTGTAAAAGAACATGTACTTGCTGGCTGGAAGTTGGAGAAAACCACTACCGAAAACGGATATTTGAACTTTTTGTTCAGTAACTCCTAACCTATGTTCTCGTAAATAAAGTGTGTACATATAGTGTTATTGATTCCAACAAAAATATGAGTTAATAAATGAAAGGTGAAAAGAAAAAGTGCTATTCATTATCAAAGTCACAAACATGAATCATATTTATTCTTAGCAGACCCTTTAATAAAGTCAAGTGACATTTTAACATCATGACCTTGGCGACGATGTGAAAAGAAAAATGGAAAAGAAAATATGATAAAACACCAGATATAACTTCAAATACAAACCAGAACAACGGCAACGCCAAAGCGTAGCGAATCCCATCGAACAGCCATGGATGGCATTTTAACAAACAAAGTAAATAGCAAAAATGGCAGGCATTTTTCAAAATTGCCGCCTTCTACCAAAAGTGTCATTAGACCATTTGCCATACTTATAGTATTCACATACCAAATATGAACAAAATCGCTCCACTACTTTTCAAGTTATAGTAAAATACGTTAAAATGGTGGCCATTTTTCAAAATGGCCGCCTTCTACCAAAAGTGTCATTAGACAGTGTGGCATGCTTGCAGTATTCACATACCAAATATGAACAAAATCGCTTCACTACTTTTCGAATTATTATAAAATACATTAAAATGCCGGCCATTTTTCAAATTTTTTTTCAAAATGGCCACCTTCTACTCAAAGTGTCATAGGATAGTGTGTCATGCTTTTAGCATTCACATACCAAATATGAACAAAATCGCTCCACTACTTTTCGAGTTATAGTAAAATACGTTAAAATGGCGGCCATTTTGAAAAATGGCCACCTTCTACCAAAAGTGTCATTAGACAGTGTGCCATCCTTATAGTATTCACACACCAAATATGAACAAAATCGCTTCACTACTTTTCGAGTTACAGCAAATATCGTAAAATAACGAGTAAAGGCCGCCATTTTCCAAGATGGCTGCCATGTGCTTCTTTAATATATACATTTCTAGCTTTATTAATGTCCTCTATAATTTTTTTACATCTAAAACATATTGCCATTACAGTTTTACTTATTGCACCTAAATTACTGTAAATTCGGCACTAAAATGGCCACCATTTTGAAATGAGCAGCCATTTTGAAAATCGGCTTTCGAGCAGAACTTCTACTCCCATAGGGTATATGTGTACAAAATATGAACAAAATCGGGCCAACGGTATTTGAGTTATTGCCCGGACGGAAGGACATACGTAGGGACGGACGGACGGACGGAGGCGTTCCCTATATCCCTCCGAACTTCGTTCGATGGGATAATAATGAAGATATATAAAGAATTAAAGAGGAGAGAGAATTAAATTAAGAGGTTATATGTAACAAATGTACATTATGATATCATTTGTCAAGTAGGCTAATTTACTCTGGCAATTGTTCACCAATGTACCCGGGATTGATCTGAACAGCCCACTAGACAATACCCAGTGGCAATAGCTGAATGTAACTTTTGATTTCAACCAGGTGCAGTGACCATGGACAATCTTAGACCAAGACAGAGTGTCATTCTTCAGCAGTGGCCAATAACCCTTAATATTTATGTATATAATTTGAAAAACAATAATTGTATAATTATGTGTATACATGTAATTTATTTACAATAAAAAGGAATAACATATTTACAGTTATTTACAGTGTTGCCAATATTTTGATATGACATGTGTTGGATTTTTGTCTGTTACATTAAGTTTTTGGTTGCGAATTAAAATAGTGTTCATAATGTAACAAAAATATTTACAAATATCTCCAGCATTCCATATAGGACGAAGTTTGGCATCGTCCATTACATGGTTTTGGTTGCAAACTAGAAAAGGGCAAATCCCAATAAACAAAATATCCACTTATATATCGATTCATTGCATTCAAAATTTTACAGTTAAGAATTTCCAATATTCCACAAAGGACGGGATGAATTTTGATATTGTCTGTTAACCAGGTTTTATGGTGACAGTTGGTTGATCATTAATTGTTGATGCCTGTGGCTAATTTCTGTCGCTGGAGCAATCTATATACCTGAAAATAAATATAAACACACTAAACAAACTATTGATACTTAATACAGGCAAATTACTAGAAATTGGCAACTACATTGAGAAATTAAATAAAGCTCATTAGAGGTTTTGATTTTGTTTGGATTGCTTCTTCCCCAATCCCACAGGTTATATAAATAATTCTGAAGAGTGGTTTTCCTAGAATCTCCATGACAATGTTTATATAGAACACAAAAATGTACATGTCCCCACCAATGTGCAATCCTATATAATTTTTTCATCCTTAATGCCAAAACACTATAATCAATTGATGAAAACTTTTAAAAAAAATCCAAAATGCCTGCCTTACCCTTTACCAAATTTCCCAAAATGCATTCAGTTTTAGTTTTTCATATTATAAGAATCATTCCTGATAAATCCGCCAAACAGTCAAACAAAATGGCCGCCGTACCCTTTACCAAAAATCCCAAAGGCAGTCAGTTTGAGATTTTCATTTTAAGGTACGTTGGTAATCAAAAGGAAGTGACAAAACAGGAAGAGAAAAAACATGCTTCATATTTAGTCATTTTTTCTGTTGTGTTTATGTCGTTTTGTTCCAATGAGGTTTATTTAGTAATATAAATATATGTTTCATATTCCTATTCTCTTCTGAACTCTACTGCGTCAATCTAGTTGAGTCTAGTCAGTCTAGTTGACAGCCCATGGTTGACTGATATATTATCTTTGTCAAAATTGAGAACGAACGAGTATAAGGGGTCTTTTAGCTTTGCACAGTTTAGAGCAATTATAATACGTAACTATTTCTATTATGTATACCGTCTTTGTAGATACAAAATAACACATATAAAATTCTAATAAAACAAACTTTTGTATTCTGTGGCCTCATTATACACTTATTTCGTTTGGAATGGCCTTACACATTGGTCCACGAAACGACCCTGTTCTGACTGTAAACCTCCTGTTCACTGTCGTATAAATTATGAATGTAGTTTCGCACATGTGTCAACTGAAACAAACAGTGAAGCCTGCTTTCCTGAACCTAGGTTTCCAGGATTCGCCTCGCATGCCTTCGACTCTTTCTCAACAATATGGCCCCACACTCTTTGGTGGGGACAATAAAAGTGGCTACAATGACAGCCAAATGAGTTTTTATCAATTTTGAAGTCATGATACATATCATATGAATACACACCTCTCTATTCCTTGTGCTCAGCACTGCATTAACCTGTGTTCTTTTCATCCCTCGGTTTATGATCAGGTAATCTGAAATGAAATGGGAATATATGGATGCATTCAAAGGGAACTTGTAAAGTTGCACGATTTGCCACTTCAAGGGGTTGGTGTTTCAAAATAGTCTGAAGTTGAGGTTGAATTAGTTAATATTATATGCACATAATATTAGCAAATAAAGTGTTGGAATAATAGAATTAACAGTATTGGTTGGTCATGTGTCGGTGAGCATCTTTGATGTCAAAATGAAGCAGGCATCAACTTATCCCAATCTAAATTATTGATAGTCAATCAACTTACCAAACATCAAGTCATGTCTGATGCCAATACAAGATGTCTTTCCTATGATGATCTTAGTCGCATCAGTTGATTTCCCACTTGGTGTTGTTGATGAAAGTTCTCTCTTTGTCATCATAGCATTTATGAGTGTCCTTGCAGCCTTGATATCGTCCTGTATTCCAGTGATCTCAGATTTTAGGCTGTGGGGTATGGCCTGTATATGAGAAAAATATGAAAGGCATACTTCACTAAAGGCTCTACAACAGTAAATTTCATGCTTCTATCACAAAGTGCACAAACATTTCAACATTTACACTAGCTATAATGTTCGGTGGGATTTGCTACTCCATGGAATTGCTGTTTTTCTAGTTTAAGCTTAATTCAACCAATTATTTTTATACTTTATGAAGCTCAAAAGATGTGTGTGGTCTTTGTGTTGATTCATTTATAAAAACCTATTTTTTGTTACAATACAAAGGGGCAGGTACGTTATTGCAAGCTTTTCTAGACAGCTCTTACTTGAGTTCTAAAAGTTTTTTGACCACAAAAAATGCCTTTATTTGGCAAATATTGGTGGATATTACATAATTGATCTCCAAAAAGAAAGAAATCAAACAACATGGATTATGAGATATAATGGATTATAACAAATGGATTATGAGATAATCCATAATCATTTTTGGCTCACATAGTGAGCCTATGGGATTGACCAGGCGTCCGTCCGTCCGTTGGTCCGTCCGTCCGTCTGTCCGTCCTTCCGTCCGTCAACATTTGCCGCACAAATTAAAACTGCTATTCGAATTGAGTCATATCCACATTCATTTTATGCATATCCATAATGCCTATTTGACCTATCATCGCCATTTCCCAAGTTTGCCCGGTTTCCGAGAAATTGCGGATTTTGATGTCAAAAAGTCAAATTTTCTATAAATACTAGACACTTTGTTGAAGTAGAACTTTCAAATAACTTTTAGTAGTTGGTGTATATGCGACTTATGTCCTCTGAAGATTCCAAAGCTCTTGGAATTAAGGTTTTTGGTGTTTACTCTATAAAATTTGAAAAAAGTAGGACTTGGTCATTTTCAGGAAACTTTCTCATGTATAAAGTCAATGGCAGGTTTTGTGATTGACAAGATTCTTAAAGTTTGCCTTATACTTGATCATTTCCTGCAATAAATTACGTTCAAAAAGTTGATTTTTCAAATTGATTTTTGCATGTAAATTTTGGTCAGCTTAATCACAAAATACCTTACTGAGCTCTAAATAAGTAAAATTTTCAAGGTCAAAGGTCATCAAACTAGGTCACACAACTATGCTATCTAAGTTTCTCAAAGTTCGAGACTCCAAATCCAAATCAATATTTTTGTTTGAAAGTCAGGATATAAATTCCTCTGAAGGTTCCAAACTGTGTGAGCACAGGACCGTGGGTCCTTCATTTACATTTTTTACTATAACTTGAAAAGTAGTGGAGCGATTTTGTTCAGATTTGATATGTGAATACTTATGAACCTTGCGTAGAAGGTGGCGATTTCAAAAAATGGTCGTCATTTTTACATTTTTTGCTATAACTCCAAAAGTATTGGAGTGATTTTGTTCATATTTGATATGTGAATACAGCATGGCACATTGTCTAATAAAACTATGTGTGTTATTTTACATTTTTTATTATAATTCAAAAAGTAATAGAGCGATTTTGTTCATATTTGATATGTGAATACTCGTAAGGATTGCATACTGTCTTATGACATTTTGGGTAGAAGCCGTTTTTAAGAAATGGCCAGCACTTACATGGATGCGTGGGCGATTTTTAAAAATTGTTATATGTGGCTACTTAAAAGCATATTACTTCTTCTGATGACAACTTGGCTAGTGAGCAACCATTTTGAAAATGGTGGCCTTATGTGTGTTATTTTACGATATTTGCTATATATTTTGTTTGTAAAATGCCAGCCATTTCTGTTCGATGGGATTCGCTACGCTTTGGCGTTGCCGTTGTTCTGGTTATTTTCTGCCATTTTAGCCATCATCCACTTTAGAGCAACACCATGTGAGCCCAGTATCCATGGTTCTATTTATTTTCTTTTTGGAGATCAATTATATAATTATCCCCCAATCTTTTTGTACTTTAACTATATCAAAAAATGTTGCTTCTACCCCAGATATTTGACCTTAAATTTCCATTGTTTTCAGATTATCCTCATCCCAAGACAATCACTTTCCTTTTGAATAAAAATTTGAATAAAAGGCTGCACTTTTGGTGAGAAACGACTCATTATTGCGGAAAATTGGTGAAAATCGACTCATCATTGCAGAAAATTGGTGATGGTGGGTGGATTAATGACAGCTTCAGAGATAATCCATTCAAGTTCACTTTCACCCTTGCCCCTAATTATCCCAAGTTCGGTAGGGATATAGTGAAGCCCTCCGTCCGTCCGTCCATCCGTCAGTCAGTCCGTCAGTCCGTCCAGAAGATAACTCAAATACTAGTAGACGGATTTTCTTCATATTTAGTGGAAAGATGTATATTGGTGAATAGTTTTACGCAAAAAAAATTTTTTAAGATGGCTGCCGCTTAAAAAATGACGGGACTTTTTTTCAAAAATCATTAATTTTTCATTCTAAACCAAAGTAATTAATATTATTGTTTGAAATTTTGGTAGTATATTCACAACATTTATCTATTTCGCATATATTCCGTGTTTTTCATCCTGACCCCCAGGGGCCGTGTATGGGGGGTCAGGAAAACAGAAATTTTCGCTAATTTATAGATCTTTCTGAAGTATAGCTTTATTATACTCAAATGAAAGGCAATTAAGAGTAGATTGCAAATATTGTTTTTCTGATTCTAGCCTAGTAAAATTCAAAATGGCCGTCTAATGTACGATTTCGCAATAATTTTTCAATCCCTTCAAAGTATGGCTATATTATACTCAAATTGAAGGATTTTTGGATTAGATCACAATTATGGTATTATTTTTCAGATTTGTACCTCAGAAAATTCAAAATGGCTGCTTTGGAGGAATTCGCAATTCTAAAATCTAATTTTTTCAATTTTAACCAAAGTAATGAGTATAATTGATTGGAATTCGGTAATTGATATTTTGTTCGTTGGGATTTGCTACTCCGCGGAGTTGCCGTTATCTAGTTGAAGATAACATATTGGCCAAACAGACACATTTGTTTTTGTGGTAAAATAATTATTAGATCTCAAGTAAGAGCTGTCTAGAAAAGCTTGCAATAACGTACCTGCCCCTTTACACATATTATTTCTTGTGGTGCTCAACTCCCCAATTTATCTTTCAATGTTTACTCAAATGTAAAATTTTACCTTCAGTCCTATGATAGCCTTTTCTTCTTCGGTTGCTGGTAGCAAGGCCATAGGATATCCAGTTGGCATATCCGTCCAAAAAGTCCTTTGGGGTTGCTGTGCTGGTTCTGATGGGGGTGGAGGAGGAGGTGGACAGTCGTTCACCAGGTCCAGGTATCCACCTGAATTTACTGTTGCCAATGCTGAGGTCAGGTCCAACATTAAATTTCGTTCTTCAGCCTCTGTTGGAATCTCAAGTACAGGTTCTTGTGGTACTTCAATGACAGGTGTTACAGTTTGTTTTTCTTCTATTCTTGCTAGTGCAGCAAGGATACAATCATTCTTTGAGTTTATTGAGTTTGTCTGTTCTGAAAAAGAACACGAGATGCTGATGTTAAATATGTATGATGTTAAGTAAAATATTATACACACTTTGAGATCTTAATTGTTTCTTTTGGATAAAACCATGACAAAAAATATGTTAATAATTCTCTAACATGTGGTTACGAGAGGTAATCCCCTCATCTCAAAATCAAATTGATATTCAATTTTTTGAGAGCAAACTTTTTATTGGTAATTTTAATATATAGATTTCAAATATTTGAAAAGTATACATCTGATATAACTCATGTGATAATAATTAACACATCATCCAATGTCCATCTGTCCAGGCAATGACTCAAATACTGATGGCCCCTTTGTAATATAATTCCTCAGGATATACCCCATAATTACAACCTTTCATAACATGACACTCAAGTATAATAGGTAACTAACTACCTCTTATGATTCCAATTTCCTCCTTTTGCCGTGACACATCATTCTCCAAAGAATTTAATCTGGATATCGTTGTCTGCATTTGTTGTTGAATTACACGAATCTGAAAAGGTCCACAGGCATGTTATCACATTTAAAGTCAGAAGTATAGCTAAATGTGAATGCAAGTAGCAGAAGTACAAAGAATTCTCAGAACATTTCATACACATTTTTTATAAGTATACAGATAAGCTTGTGAATGGCTGTCATTACACATTACTTGCTAGTACTTGCTACAAATAAGGAAGCATGACATTGCAGTAATTAGCTTGAACAAATGACTGACTTTCCACTATGGCGTTTATTTGAACGAATTTTTAATAAACGCCCACAGGGCTTTATTGAGAGGGAATATATTCTTTCTTTTTCCCCCCTGCTATAAGCAGATAGCATTTCCCTGATTAAGAACTGGCAATCTGATTGGCTGTCGCAACACTGCGACTGAAATCATGGATAAGTCATTGCGCATAATTAGATCACATGATTCAGTTTAATCAGGCGCTTCCAGATTGGTTATAACAGGCGGAAGAAGGAGGTATGGATTCTTGATACCTGCTTAGGAGGATGACCTTAAGAGATATGAGTGTTTATGGCAACATTAGCATTCTATACAATACCTTTTCACTTGTTTCATCTGTAGATGGAGTAGTGTCTCCAGAGGATTGTGAATTTCCCTGTGTTTTGCAAGTGGCATTCTGCAATTGATTAAATTGTTCGACACTCCTCATCATATTTGCCAGCGCCAAAGCTCTATTTGGTTCTACTGAAAAAATCAATAGAGAATATGCATTTTGTTTTGACGAAGATATTTAAAATTAGCTGAAAATTGGATTCACAAAATATCTAAACTAGAACAAATATTCTGTGTTTTTCAGCCTGTCTAATGACACTTTTGGAAGAAGGCGGCCATTTTGAAAAATGGCCGCCATTTTAACGTATTTTACTATAACTGGAAATGTAGTGGAGCGATTTTGTCTGTATTTGGTATGTGAATAATATAAGCATGGCACACTGTCTTATGACGCTTTTGGTACATGGCGGCCATTTTGAAAAATGGCCGCCATTTTAAGGTATTTTACTATAACTCGAAAAGTAGTGGAGCTAATTTGTTCATATTTGGTATGTGAATACTATAAGCATGACACACTGTCTAATGACACTTTTGGTAGAAGGTGGCCATTTTGAAAAACGACCACCATTTTAACATATTTTACTGTAACTTGAAAAGTAATGGAGCGATTTTGTTCATATTCATATATATTCTTATATATTAATTCTCATAAGTGAAAGCCCTCATCAAAGATTAAAAAGTAGAAAGAGGTTGAGAAAAATACCTTGCAACTGGGGTTTCTTCCTCCTGATCGGCTTTGGCTTTGGCAGTGATGATTCTGAGTCTGAAGGTGCCACCTTTTTATTCTTGCCTAAAACAACAATCAGTAACTTAAATGATATAACTTTTTTCAAGAAGAATGCCCTAAATAAACATCAAAATAAGTATTCTGCAACTTAGTTCAAAGTTTATATGCTGATGGCTAGAGACAAAGGAGCTCTGACATTTTCAAGATGGCTACTAGATTTCAAAATGCCCACCATTTTTTGAAAAAAAATTATGTTTGATAACTGAAACACCAGTGGACAGATTTCATTCAAATTATATATGCTGATGCCTTAAGAGACAAAGGAGCTGAGCTCAAGAAGACATTTGCAAGATTTCAAAATGTCCATCATTCATAAAAAACACAATGATCTTTGATAACTCAGATACCAGTGGAATGTTCAAGATGGTTACTATTTATCAAGGCATGTTTTGTGTGGTGGGATTTGTTACTCAATGAAGTTGTCGCTTTCTAATTTACTATAGGTAGTTGCTTTTTACAAAAATGGTTAACATTAAGTTTCAACAGGATCTCGATTAAATAGGACTATTGTCTTTCCCGAATCATTGGTAATCAGGTAATATATATATATATATCTTTTATTGACTCTTCAGATGTCATGCCCTGACATATTAGTCATTACAAAATAAAAACATTGTACTACACCACACTAAGTCTAAGCTCAGTAACAAATAAGTGTACAACATAACATTGACACGTCGCAAAAATGTTGTGCATGTGTTTTTAGGGTGTCACATAAATGTAACTTTTATTCTTCGTGAAATAAGATGCTATTGAAGCAATGTACCATTTTAAAGCTGCTCAAATTAGGAACACTCCTTTCACAATTCTTGCTATTTTTTTAAATAGAGTTTTTTACCCCAAAAGCAGACAAATATCCGCTGAATACATGTTACATTTTGAATAATTGTTTACCTTGTACGCTCATAAATCTTCATCTTGATAAAAGTAGATGGAAATGTTTTTTCTAAGGATGAATTCTAGTTAGCCTCTCAAATTGTGATGTCATTTGGTATATAAAATGGAGTCTGTGGACAGTGATCATTTTTGCTCATTTTTTGTTACCTTCAACTTATTTATGTGCTTAATCTATCACCTTAATCTGCTGTTGGTAGTGTTATCAAAATCTAAGTGCTAACCTATTAACTCTGCTACATCAGTCTCATCGTCATCACTAAAGTTGTAAACTAAGGCCCTTCTTTTCCTCCCCTTTTGTGGTTTCTTTTTCTTCAGAACTGAAATTGGAATTCATCCGATTAGTTTCATGTTTTCTATGATCATTTAAGAGGGGCGTAGAATTGCCTCCCAGAATTTTTACAATATCTTACATGCTTTAAGTATATCTTATGACCAACTTATAGGTTTAGTTTTGCAGATTTATTAATAAAAGCAACTTATCAACACTCTCTGAATTGAATACGTTTGAGTTTGCTACAATTTGGGGAATCCCCTTCAATTGGCAATCATCGCATCAGACCCACCCATCCATCTGCCAGCTCAACTACCAAAGCTCACAGCTCACATAGAACCAAAGGAGTGATAGAAATATGCGGAAAATATACTAACCAGCACTTAGGGGAATTTCATCATCATCATCACCACTGTTGTCAGGCAATGAATCATTGATAATTCGTTCTTCACCTGTAAAAATGTTCAAAGGATTCCTAAATATGAGACGTTGATCAAGACCAAACTATATTTTAGTTCCAATGCATCTATTTAAACAATGGTGAACCTCCTATCATCGTATGTCCACTAATTATAACTGCATGATGGAGCATGCTTTATGGGTTATCGGTACCTTATTAGTTTAGTTAAGAAGCTTATATTTTACAATGTTGACTTGAGCTATAGTGCCGGGGGTCATAATGGCTGACAAAATTAAAATGCTGTGTATCATTGTATCATTATCCATCGAACAAAGTCGAAGGGGATATAGAAAAGATGTCCGTCCATTCACCCATTGGTTTGTCAGGGCAATAAATCAAATACAGGTTAACAGATTTGATTCAAATTGTATACGCTTATGCCTTAAATGTATGTAGGTATGAACCTCACTTCAACAGGCACCAGGCCCGTAGCCAGGGGGGGGGGTTCGCAGCGAACCCCCCCCCCCCCCCCCCCCCTAGCCAAAAATTCTTTCAAAATCATGCAGTTTTTCACCATTTTGAGCACTTTTCAAGTGATTTTAGCCATATTTGGGCCAAAACTGTCAAAAGTGAATCCCCCCTGGAAATTTTTGAAAAATGAACCCCCCCCCCCCCCCTTGGCAAATCCTGGCTATGGGCCTGGGCACCTTCTACCTTTGACAAAGATTTCATTATGCTGCTCACTGAAATGATGCTGTTGGGCTTGTTTTCTTATTTACTTACCAGATTCCTCCATTGGAATGGCATTGGCCCCTTCTCTGTCACTAATTCCTCTCCTCTTTACAACTTCTTCCAACAGATACGGCAACAATACTAATAGGCAGTAGTCATCTCTCTGTGAAATAAATAGAATAATAATGTGATTTACTAGGAACAAAAAAACATACATCATATTATATGTGCATTGAAATATTAAGTTTTCTTTGGAAGTTTGACTTTTAGGTTGAGTCAATCCTCCATTGAACCCATCTTAAAAAATGAAAACTGAATTATCTAATAACTTTGAACAGATGATATTTCCTTTGACTGGATATGCATTTCCTTGTTTAATTACTCAGATGCGAGGAGGTAGTTACCAGTTTCGCCATCAGGTAGCTGATTCGGGGGAATTAACATTGGCAGGGTATTACAAAATTCCCTTAAATTTGAATATGCATCAGTTTTAATGGTTCACTTTTCATATTACACCAAAGGCTTATGTATCTGATAGTTATACAAATTAAAATATGCCCAGTAAAAGAAAATATTATCTGCCCAACACAAGACAAGAAAAGATATTTCACTCTTTGTGCTTTTACAACATGAGATCTATGGGGAATCTCCCCGACCTAGAAATCACATTTTCAAAAAAATCTAATTTTACATGTAGATTCCAAAATAATCAGTTTGACTGAATTGTGAATATTTAATGATGAAAATCAAGATTATTTCTCCTCGCATCTGGGATATTATTTTGCTCAAAAGGTTATTGATCAAGTATTACATCTTCCTTCTCAATACCTGTATTATTATTAAACCTGAAAAAGCCACCTGGTGGTGAACTAGGGATTTAACTACACCCTATGTTATTTCATACACTCAAACATTAAATACATATTGTGAATTATTAATTGGTTTAAAGAATAGATTTGAACCACTGTACCTTTACGTCAGTTGGGAGAGCCAGCTTTCGTAGCTTTACCATTGCATATTCAGTTTCATCATCCGTGAACTGGTTGAGACTCCCCACGCTAAGCCCAACATGTAAGAGTGCTTGCCCTAAAAATATTTTATTTTATGAGGTTAAACTGTACTTTGTTCATGTCTGAATGTTCCTTTACACTTCATTAAATCTTCTTGTCTGCCATGTTGACCTACTCTGTACGAAATTCTCATTGGAAATTCATGGGAGGGTGGGATATCACTAGATATGCCATAGTTGTATTATCTGATTAGCATGGCCATTGAATACTGCCAGATATTCCATGACATGTGACCTGGTTTTGACCAAACAAACAGTTGTTAGCTAGACAGTGATATAATAACAAATATTATCTCATGATTACAAGGAAATAGATCAATAATCATGTGAAGATAAATTTGATATGTGGATCAAGATATCATATTTTAACAAAAATTCCCAAACCATCGAATATCACTTTCAAACCATTGAATATAAAAGTGATATTTAATGGCTGTGCTCACTCATGAAAATATTATTCACTCATGGATATAAAGTATATGTTTTCATAACCATAGGATATTCCTTTATTATATTGTTTTTCTGGTCAATGCCTTTGAAACTCTGAGAATGATCATGCATAAAATTAGTGAATATTCTGATCTGTCATTTATTTTCTGCTAACCATAATAATAATAACTAGACCTTGGAAATTGAACAAGTTCAATTTCAGACTCCAGATCTAGACTTTTTTAAGCCGAGTCATCCAGAATAAGCTGAGTCATCCAGAAAAAGATGGATGGATGAAATAGGAAGGAAGGATAGGATGGAATAAGAAGGAACGATAGGATAGAATAGGAAAGAAGGATATGATAGAATAGGAAAGGATAGGAAGACTAGATAGGAAAGGATAGGATGGAATAGGATAGGAAGGATAGGATAGAATAGGAAGGATAGGATAGAATAGGAAGAAAGGATAGGATAGGAAGGATAGAAAGGAAAAGATTCGAAGGAAGGATAGATAGGAAGGATAGGATCAGATAGGAAGGATGGATGAATTTTCAATATTTTCTTCTTTACTCTTGACTTTCTATCAGGATATCATCAGATTGATTTTTCTCGAAATTTGAAAATGCCATAATTTCCAAACCTAGATTAAAAAATTGACCCAATTTCCGAGAAACTAGATACTGGACCTAAACTGACCATATATAGGTCTTGACTCAATGTCTTCTAGTTACTGAGAAAACGTGTAGAGAATAATAATAAAGAAGAAGAATACTGGCAAAAGTAATAGACTCCAGATTTTCAATATGGAGTCTATTAATATATTATAATGGGTAGAGTAGATGGTAAATATTATGAAGTGAGATACAAATATATCTGATTCATTCATGTTTTGTTTATTTGGATTTCCCACTCTGTGAGTACGTGGTTTGAAGTTGTGATACAATACAAGGTACTGAAATTATTGAACGTTTGAGAACCATTGTTATATTAAACATCTTACTGTGCTTGCCCCCTTTCATGTATGCTTTATGCCTCTCTTCCCGACACTGCTGATCCTGAGCAATCTTTTGCAGGTCATCTCTGCATTGTATGAATGCTGAGTCTATTTCTGAAGTGATGAGTGAAATAAATTAACATATGCAAACTGAGGATAGAAACAGTAAAACTATAGATAACAGCAATGCCAAAGCGTAGCACATCCATTCGAACAGCCATGGCTGCCATTTTTACAAAATCCTTTCTCTTCTTTTTCAGTTTTGGCAAATCGTTAAATAACACATAAACACACATAAAATTGGTCAAAGTAGGCACTTATAGCAAACGCTTACATGAACTGAAAATGGTGGCCATTTTTCCAGTAATTGGTGCATTTTGAGAAATTACATTTAAAACATTTTGCTATTGCAGCTTTATATATTGTACTATAAATTACTGTTAAATCAACAGTAAAATAGACGCCATTTTTAAATGGGTGGCTGTTTCGAAAATTGGCTCTCTAGCAGAATGTGAACAAAATATGAACAAAATCAGGTCAAGAGATGTTGCCTGTATGAATGGATGTACAGACTGATGTTTTCACTTTTTGTCCCTCTGAACTTTGTTCAATTTGATAATCAAAATCGACTCAACAACTCTCCTGTCAGAACATAAATAAATAAGGCAATACATGATATACTGATTGAAAATATGAAAGGAATAAATGAATACCTTGGCAAACTTTACTGCACATTTCCTTTGGGTCCTCCTCATATCTTCTCTTTATCTCATCTGTGATCTCTTTCTTTTTGTCTGAAATATTCAATTTTTTGTAAAATATACATAATAAAGCAATTTTGCTATTATTTCCAACTTAAAGTTGATGCTCTGAAAAAACAAGACAATTTGTATGTACCCTAATAAAAAATCCGACCTTGAAATTTCGAAAACAAACCATCGCAAGCAATCATCGATTAATGATTGCTTAAACCATTTAAATCAAAGGAAAAACCATTGCAAAATGACATGCAATCATTGTGCAACCATTGGCTGTAACCATTAGAATTTCACTATTTGCAATGATTGAGCAACCATTAACATGCGATCATTGCACTTTTAAATGCAACCATCTACAACCATTACTCATTGAAATCTGCAATGGTTGCAATGGTAGCATTCAAACATTGAACATTTTTACAATTGCAACTATTGCAACCATCATGAGTTTTAATTCGGTGAAATGATCGTAGAAGTATGTCTGAAGAAATGTTGATGTTAATGCATGTCCACAATGTAATTACATCTATATTGAAGAGGGGTAAAGTTAACCTTTTGGAGATCAATCAATTCTAACAGTAGCTTTTGCCTCTAAAATGGGGTCACACAAGGTTGCCTTCTAAAAACAACTTTTAATAATACATATTTTCTTTACCATATAACTGCATTCAAAGTATGATATCAATTAATTTTGACGCTATAAAATTTCGCGATTTTTCAAAATTGCAATTTCGCGGCTATTTAATTTCGCGGATTTGAGTTGATGACATCTCGCAGATTACACAAGTTCTTGATAATATTAATATAATTACATGCCTTTTTACAAATGCATGATCTTAGCAAGTACATCAATTGTTGATATAAAATTGAACAATACCCCATGTTAATTATCACCCAACAACACTGGAGAAACGTTTAACACCGAACGAAAAATATCAAAAGTCCCGGGTCAAATCCCCGGGGATTTAGAAGACAAATTTTGCGACGATAAATGTTCGCGATTTTACTACATTCGCGAACAAAGCCAAATTAAATCGCACGCGAACAATACCCGGAGTACAGTATCCTGTCTGGGTCCTTGATGACAGTGACCAGATAGACATTGCAATTACTACCATTCAATTAAGAGTAACAGGAGACTTATAATCAGGACCATGAATTAATAATCCTTTGGTCCTTTAATAATCCTTTAGCTTTTTATCTAGGGCTTTTTATCACAACATACTTGTATATTTGTTTTCTTCTAGCTTTAAGAGACATGAGACATATGATTAAAAGAATCTTCAGAGAATAGAATCCGAACTTAACTAAAAATACTTTTTTTTATTGTGGGATCCATATGCAACAATTAATAATTGAAACTGACTCAGCTTATTGATTCAGCTTTAGATATATAATAGGAGACTGATAGATCACAATGTAGACTCTCTATTCCATGGATACATTTTTTACCTCATTGAAATTTCATGTTTCACTGTTGTAAAAAGGGAACATTCACATCTATTTTCAGACAATTAATACAATTTGAGTAATTCTTAAATAATATGATTTGATAAAATAGAAGTGATATTTTGGTTCACTCCGGGTTTTTACAATTTTCCAGCAGTTTTTAAAAATTTTCACGCAGAAAACTCCATCCCAATGATTGGGTATAGCCAGCTTTTCTTTTGCCAAGGGATTTTCGGTTTCTAAAATTCCTGGGGGTTCACATTATATTTTTTGCCCGCCCTCCCTCCCACCTCCATCCCAATTATAGGGTATGGCATAGCCAGTTTTTCATTTGTCAAGGGAATTTAGATTTCTATAATTCCAGGGAGTTTACATTATATTTTTTGCCTGAAATCACTTGAAAACTGGGTCATCAGTGCATTGTTTTGGACAGGTTTATCACCTCTGATTCTGCAGGGAAGAGGGGGGGGGGGGGTTACCCAAATATAAGTCTGGAGAAAAGGACTGAATGCCTAGGTATGATTTAAACAAGTATGAAAGTAAAACACAGACATCTGAATAACATTTACTGAAATTGAAACAAGTGATTATTTTAGTTTCTGTTGATATCTAGATTGATGTACTGGTAGAAGGGGGGGGGGAATAACTGTAGTTATATAAAATGAAAAAAATAATTTAATTTCTAAATGTTTAAACCAATGGTTTTGGAGAAAACTGCTGGACGTACAGACGGACAGATAGATGGACGAATGCGCCTAGGCCGACAATATGGCCCCACACTATGTGGTGGGGACATAATAAGGCAAAGATTCTAGAATACTCGTCTACAAAACTACGAAACTACAAAACTCAACTACAAAATTCAATGTTGCATCATTAACTGACTTTATCAGATTGTTGATACCATGATAACAGCATCCCCTCCCTGCCACACTTTTGGCTACAGTTATTCTCCAAGAGAAAAACAAATGATATTTGCCTTGAGTGAAATCTCATTGTACATTAATTTGCATAATTTTAAAATGTTTGTTCAGGAAGTTAACACAAGACAAATGTTTTTTGATCAAATAAATCTACAGGCTTAAGTTAGAAAAACTTAATTTGCATAATTTAAAAATTGTTTTATTTACTGTAGGAATTATTATTATGAGATAAGTTGAAACAGTAAAACAAATGAGCAAATCTAATCATATTGTAGATTTATAGACTTAATTTGCATACCTCATAAATTGTTTTTAGATATGATTAGGAAGTTTTTAATGGTGAAAATAAGTCGATTGATTGTGTTTTGGAAAACGTGTCTATTCATATACAGCTTTAAGGTAGCATCAGTTCAAGTGATTTATGAAACTAAAATCAAATTACATTTAAGTTCATACTTTATTCCCTGGGAACAAAGATTTTTACATCATTCTTTCAAAACTATGGTTCCAATTTTTTTTATTATTTAGGAGAATTTAAAATTCCCACTCCCATTTATTTTATACAGCTTTCTAATAACTTTCCCGATTAATAACTTTTCGCAACATTATAATCTGGCTAGCTTTATTCGTTCCTGATATGTGGCAAGGGGGGGTTATTAGGCTCCCCCATAATTATCCCAACGAAAGAAGTTTGGTAGGGATATAGTGAAGCCCTCCGTCTGTCCGTCAGTCAGTCAGTCAGTCCATCAGTCCGTCCGTCCGGAAGTAGATGGATTTTCTTCATATTTAATGGAAAGATGTATATTGGTGAATAGTTTTACGCAAAAAAAATTTTTTCAAGATGGCCGCCGCTTAAAAAATGATGGGACTTTTTTTCAAAAATCATAAATTTTTCATTCTAACCAAAGTAATTAATATTATTGTTTGAAATTTTGGTAGCATATTCACAACATTTATCTATTTCACATATATTCCGTGTTTTTTTTTTTGGCCATCTAATGTACGATTTCGCAATAATTTTGCGATCCCTTCAAAGTATGGATATATTATACTCAAATTGAAGGAATATTGGAGTAGATCACAATTATGGTATTATTTTTCAGATTTGTACCTCAGAAAATTCAAAATGGCTGCTTTGGAGGAATTCGCAATTCTAAAATCTAATTTTTTCAATTTTAACCAAAGTAATGAGTATAATTGATTGGAATTCGGTAATTGATATTTTGTTCGTTAGAATTTGCTACTTACCAGCTATCAACTGAATCTTTGCCTGGCACCCCTTGATGTTTACAATGTCCTCCTCTTTGTAGTTATCTTTGGGTAGTTTACCTGCTTTTATGGTCGACCATTGATCCTTGCAACAACTGCATATAAACACAATGTTGAGCCAGTCTGAAACAATAAAAATGATATAAAAGATATATATTTCATAGTAAGTGGGTAGGCTTCTAAAGTGCATACTATATACAGGCCTATAGCTGAGGGGGAGGTGGAGGGGTTGCAGTGAACCCCCTTCCTAATAATTATTTCAAAATGATGCAGTTTTCACCATTCTGGGCACTTTTCAAGAGATTCTGGCCAAAGTTGTCAAAAGTGAACCTCACTCGGAATTATTTAAAAAGTTTAACCTGCCTTGGCCACAGGCCTACTATACAACCATTTTACTCCACCCTTTTGGCCTTTCTGCATTTACCCCCTCTGGTCAAATATAATCAATCAATGGTTGTTGTACTTAATTTATTTTTTATCAAATTCAGTTTGATTTATACTAATTCGATTCAAACAATTGCTTATAGTAAATAAGTTTAAACCTACCAGTCTTTCCACCTGTTTTCTTGAGAACCATGGTGTAGTGATAATGTAGCGATAATAATCCAAAAAATTATGATTATATTTTTTTTTTAAATTAGTCTATATAATAACAGTTCAAGGTATCCTTCTATATCCAATGGTGTCTTAACTCGATGATCTTCTTAATACAAATGTGCAAATGATATTGTTAGTAAATGATCTTAGTCCTATTTGGCTAATTACAAAGTTGCTTCCTGCACAAGTCCCAATTGAAACTAGCTATAATTGGCTTGATTATTATAACTTTTATTGACATATAATATCATAACATGATTACATTAGTCAGAACTATGGTCTACATATCTAAACTACAAAACACTAACTAAACTAAAAAATACAAAAAATATAAAAAATAAAAGGTACACATTCAATTTTGATTGATTATGGGTATCTACCTAGGTCACCATATACATTACACCAATCAGTTTGTGATTTAACGCCTAATGTTGACAAATAAGTTCTACAAAAGATTATGTATTGATTACTCAGAGAGGCAGAGCAATGGATAATAGCTTACCATGCTCATATTATAAACCATAGGCATAGCCAGGGAGGGGGAAGTGCGATAGGTGCGACCCCCCACCCCCCTCCTTCTCAAGCTCAATTTGTAAAATTTAGAACAATTGCTAAATTTGCTAAAACTGACTGAAAACCGAAAACGAAAAAATTGGCGATTGCATGCACCCCCCCCTTCCTAAAGCTGGCTATGCCCCTGTAAACATTCATAATAATTTGCCATGCTCAAAGGCACCTTCAAGACATTCATAATAATTTTCCATGCTCCAAGGCATAGACAGTAATAATAATAGGCAATGCTCATAGGCATCTTATAGCGACTTTCATAATAATTCATTATGTCCAAAAGCAGATTTTCATAATAATTTGCCATGCTCAAAGGCACCTTCAAGACATTTGTAATAATTTACCATGCCCAAAGGCATAGACAGTAATAATAATTGTCCATGCTCATAGGTATCTTATAGACTTTCATAATAATTCATTATGTCCAAAAGCAGATTTTCATAACAATTTGCCATGCTCAAAGGCACCTTCAAGACATTCATAATAATTTTCCATGCTCGTAATAATAATTTTCCATGCTCATAATAATTCATAATGTTCAAAAGCAGATTTTCATAATAATTTGCCATGCTCAAAGGCACCTTCAAGACATTCATAATAATTTTCCATGCTCCAAGGCATAGACAGTAATAATAATAGGCAATGCTCATAGGCATCTTATAGCGACTTTCATAATAATTCATTATGTTCAAAAGCAGATTTTCATAATAATTTGCCATGCTCAAAGGCACATTCAAGACATTCATAATAATTTACCATGCCCAAAGGCATAGACAGTAATAATAATTGTCCATGCTCATAGGCATCTTATAGACTTTCATAATAATTCATTATGTCCAAAAGCAGATTTTCATAATAATTTGCCATGCTCAAAGGCACCTTCAAGACATTCATAATAATTTACCATGCCCAAAGGCATAGACAGTAATAATAATTGTCCATGCTCATAGGCATCTTATAGACTTTCATAATAATTCATTATGTCCAAAAGCAGATTTTCATAATAATTTGCCATGCTCAAAGGCACCTTCAAGACATTCATAATAATTTACCATGCCCAAAGGCATAGACAGTAATAATAATTGTCCATGCTCATAGGCATCTTATAGACTTTCATAATAATTCATTATGTCCAAATGCAGATTTTCATAATAATTTGCCATGCTCAAAGGCACCTTCAAGACATTCATAATAATTTACCATGCCCAAAGGCATAGACAGTAATAATAATTTTCCATGCTCATAGGCATCTTATAGACTTTCATAATAATTCATAATGTTCAAAGGCAGATTTTCATAATAATTTACCATGCCCAAAGGCACCTTCAAGACATTCATAATAATGCAGTACATGGTGACCTCAGTAGATTTCCCATTTCTATCAAAATTGAATTATCTTTGAAAGATTTGGCATTAGAACCATATGTGAAAGATTTAGGTTAAGTTCACTTTGGCTTAAAATAGAATCTGGAAGACACATAAAATCCAAACTTAAACCAGTTAATGAAAGGTTATGTAATATATGTAAATATGGGGGAGGATGAATTTCACTTTATTATAAATTGTACAAAGCATTCTCAACACAGATAAATATTTTTCAATAAAATTCCTGAAATATTACCAACATTTGATTTGAATAGTAACGATTTTATATAATTTCTAATGGTAATATCATCTTCCAACGACATCTTGGTAAATTTATATATCATTCATTGAACAGTTTAGAATAATCAGCATTATTTGTGAATCACACTTTAAAATATTTTGCTGTTCTGTATGCTTTCTGTAATTATATCAAATCATACATATTTTTTTATAAAGATGTAGTTTTAGTTAGTAGTTAAGTAGTAGATAGTGGTTTTAATGAGTAGTTTATGACTAAAATAATCATGTGATGATACAAGATGTCAATAAAAGTTATATACGTGATATCATAATTTGCCATGCTCCAAGGCATAGACAGTCATAATACTTTGCCATGCTCATAGGCAACTCATTGACATTCATAATAATTTACCATGCTCAAAAGCATCTTAGAGACATTCATAATAATTAATAATGTTCAAGGGCAGATTTTTATAATAATTTGCCATGCTCCAAAGCATCGTATAAACAATCATAATAATTTGTCATGCTCCAACTACCTTTTGCATTCATTTGACTTTACTTCTTAAAAGAGAGCTTCATCTTCATAGTAATTTAACTAGACTCTGCACGCAGGGTATGCTCCAATAATGAAATTATTGGCATCGAATTATGGAACAAGATAAATAGTTTTTGAGCTTGATAATACGATATATATTTTCATTAACTTTTTTATACAATTTGTTGGCACTCCTTATGTCAAAGTCCTTATAATTTGATATAAGATCTTATAATTTGGTTTAGTCATGTTCATATTCATTAGGCATTGTAGTTAGTAGTGGCTCTCTAGAATCTCTACATCCTACCATTGTTAGCATAGTCTTGATTTGGCTGATACAGATGGCCTTTATTGGAGTAGGATTCCTGAAAGTAGAATTGTTGTCCTTGTCATTTGATCTTCTTGCTCTGTTACAAATTCCCAATGGACAACAATCACCAGTCCTGTAAAGATTATACCTAGAAAGTTCTATAAATACATACAATGTTTAACATATTTACCTTAAGTCTCCTCTAAAGATGTGTGGCATAATGTAGTTGACACCAGATGTATTTGTCAGAGTGTTAGTAATTTCCTCACGTAACATTGCATTCTGCATCTTCATTGGCTGTATCACAGCAAGCTTGTGAACATCTCCATCTAGTTCTCTAATCCGTAAATAGTATAGAATAATGGCCGCTCCTCTACTCTGCTCCAGCTCCACAGCATAAGATATTCTCCTTGTCACCTTCTTTGTAGAAGAGGAGAAAAACATCTTTCTGTTGACAAGGGCCTTGGTCAGCTTGGTGATGGAGACTACCTTCTCACCCAGACCGTCTTTGTACTTGTTCACAAGGGCAGTTACGGCAGGGCTCAGTTTAATAGGGACCCCAACTCCAACAAGCTGATTTACAGATTTGCTGAAAATGTAAACAATCTGAATAATAATATAAACAAGAGTATAGCATTCTCACAACTGTGTGTTCTTACATAATAAATAATGTGTGTCAATGTATTCATATCATGTTATTGGTAATTTGATTTTTACGCTAAGAAGTCTCAATCTGAATGTTCAATTTGACCAATATATTATTTAGAACTGTCAGTAGTTTAATGTGAATGTAAACTTGAATGTTAAATGTATGCTTACCTTGTTTTACCTGAGTTTATTATTTTCTTGACCTTTTCCGATGTTTCTGTGCTGCACTTCAAGAAATGGAAGATTTGCACTCGCCTGACATTACACACAACCTATAAAATATCATGACTCTTATATGATTTACACAAATACCGGATTTTCTCGCATATATGCCCCCCTAAATTTAGGCCCATGGGCCAAAAATTGAATGTAGTACGCTTATACGCCCATGGACCTAAAAAAAATGACTATTTATTGATTTTTTCAATAAATTCAAGAGTATTTTGTCACTGGCAGATCGTTCTGTTGTAACTTTGTTTCAACATTAAGTCCAAGGTTGTAGGTGACATTTCCTTTATAATTCTTACAAAACATGCGGAAGGAATACAACAGTAGGTACGGTAGTTTTTGAGAAACCATTATATTCATCAGCTCTTCTCACCTTTACGCCCACTGGGCCAAAAATCGAAAGTAGTACACTTATATGCCCATGGGCGAAAAATAAGAGGTAAAATAACAGACGAAATTACCCCTTCTTTCAGTTATATGCCCAGGGCTTATATGCGAGAAAATCCGGTAGCTACATTTTCAGTTTTTGTTCAAAAATACAAGGGGTGTTTCTTTTTGCCCAATTTTTGCCATTTAAAGGAAAATGGAACATTATCAAAAGTATGAATGATTCTAAACCTCTGTGTAATAAAACAACATCGCAGATATATGAACTTAACATACCTGCATAGCAATACTCTGAGTGCCATTTATCGCCCTCACCAGTTCTCCAAGGTGACTTTCAGCTGCAAAGCAAGATGTTGACCAAAGTGGACCTGTCCTCTCCACACACTGCACCAAATGAAGCCCTGTATTGTGCACATTTATAGTTTGAGCAGCTTTACCTGAAAGTATATTTAAACATAGATATACAAGGCATTAAGGGTAGTTTGCTGTCCAACAAATTTCAACATTTCACATTTTTGCAATTTTGACTCGGAATGCCTTGGAATGGTTTAAAAATAAAGATTTTACCGGATGCTTTCTTCATCAAGATCATTCCAATGGATTCTAGCAAATTTGTATAGGATTTAATGAACCTAGGTCGTTTTTAGAAATTATCTTCAAATTCTCAAACCATAAATCAGCGATCACCTTTCATGATATTTAGTTTTTGGGGGGGGGGAGGGGGGGGGGGGGAGGGGGAGTCAAAGTCAAAACTAGATTTACTTAGTTTCAGATCCGACATCCAACTTTTGTCCACCTAGTTGCTCACAATATTATGAGTTCAATCTTAAGTCAGATTTGATTTGAATGAATTTTTGAGAACTGATCTGGAGATTATTTTGAAAATGCCACAAAAAACGAAGACCATAACAATACGTCACCACTTCTTGGTGGTGACATCATAGTATTGCACTTAGATCATATAGTCCTCTGAAAAAGGTTGTAAACACTAAACTAAATATTGGAAATTGAACAAGTTTAAACTTGATAT